ACTAACCTTCTTCACCTTCTCTTGTGGGGGAGAAGCGGGGTCAGTTTGCACCCGGTGTCACTTATTATTCCTGGGGGGGGGAGATGGGCAGCGATCGCTTGAAGCCCCTTGGGGATGGCTCGGGTGGCGGAGGCAGGCAGAACCGCAGACACACTAGGCACAGTTTTCGCCTCTCCTCCCACCGCAACTCTTGTTTTTATAGTTGCCAGAGACAGGGCGCCGCCAACGCCGTAGTAACATCCCCACCTTTCCATTTGTTTTGCAGCCTCTTCCGTCTCCGCCTCCGCCCTTGTGCTCCAGCCACCGCCTACATCTTGGAAGGGGGTACTGTATGGTTGCTCATCGCCCTGGGGGGGGGGGATGGGCAACGATCGCCTACAGCCCCCTGGCTATGGCCTAGAAGGCGGAGGCAAGCAAAGCCGCAGGCACACTAGGCACAGTTTCCGCCAATTCTGCTGCCGCACTTCTTGCTTGCACAGTTGCCAGACACAGGACGCCGCCAACGCTGCAGCAACACTCCCACCCTTCTTTTGGATTCCTCTGGTGTGACTCACCATCGCCTGGGGGGAGATGGGCAACGATCTCCTACAGCCCCCTGGCGTTGGCTTGCGAGGCGGGGGCATGAAGAGCCGCAGGCACACAAGGTTCCGCCAATTCTGCCACCGCAACTCATGCTGTACAGATGCCAGACCGAGGGCACCTCCAACGCCGAAGCGAATCACCACCACACCTCTTGCGCTTCAGCCACCACCGGCCTTCGGGACGGGGGCGTGGACACGGTGGAGTGGGACTACCAGATTAACCCTCACGCGGCCGCCGCCTGGAAGGCGCAAACTTCCCCCACGCCCGATGGAACCCCCCAGTGCAGCCACCAATCCCACCTTCGGATGACCTTCGCCTGCCTCGGCGGGCGAGGCTCCCCGTCGTGGGAGCGTGGGCTGGATGGGGGGCTTCCTCTGGGCAGTGGCAGCGGCCGTTGCGCCTTCCCCCTCTGGCGCGTGTCGGCCACGAGAAGGGTGGCTTACCGACGGCCGTCCTGGCAAGGGCCAGGGCGGCCACGGCACCAGCCACTGCCAGCCACAAGCGCGTGTTATGCCGCTGCCTCAGCAACACGTTCACCAGTCCTTCATTCGGGAACCCTAAACCCTTCACATGCTCCGCAGGCGAGGATCCCCGTCTGAGGACTGCTGAGCGCCCTCTGGGGCTTTCACCAGGCAGGGGGAGAAGTCTCTGCGCCTTCCACCTGGGCGAGAGCGGCTACACAGTCAGCGTCCCGCCTCCACTCCCCTCCGTTCCTTTCTGTGGTCAAGGTCCTCCTGCTCCTCTCCCCTTTCCTCGCTCGTCACTTCACCTGTCTCGTTTTTGTTTTTACATAGATTCTCGGGCCCCGAACAGCCAGTCGCGAGGCACACTAGTTCGATCGGAGCTTAAGAGACGGGGGTCAATGCAAATGGGTCAGCCAGGGCACTGGATCCTGCAGGATCCTGCGAAGACCCCCTCTGGCTGACCCGGGTTAGCGAGCCGCTCGTGGTCGCGAAGCGGCCACGCATATTAGCTGACCCGGGTTTGCGCAGCCCTGTGTTGCAGTTTTTGTTGTCTTGTATTTAAATTATTTGGTTTCTTGCTGACCCGGGTCTGATTGGAAAGAGCGTGTTCTACCGCTGCTGGCGGAAAACCGGGGGGGGGGGTCACCCTCTCGAAAAACCGGGGGGGGGGTTACTTCCGGTTCGAATCCCACCCCCCCCACCCAAATCCACCCAATCCCTCCCCCCCCACCCAAGTCCACCATGAAAAGGGGGAGGGTCACTACCGGTTCGAACCCCCCCCCCTCGAATTCTTCCGGTTCGAATCCCTCCCCCCCCACCCAAGTCCACCATGAAAAGGGGGAGGGTCACTACCGGTTCGAACCCCCCCCCCTCGAATTCCGCGGGGGGTCACTACTGGCTCGAACCCTGTTTCTCCCCCCCCCTCTCGAAAACCGGGGGGGGTCATTACCGGTTCGACCCCCCCCCCCTCGCCGCCGGCAAACGATCCCCGCTCCTCAGGACAGTTGGACAATGGTGGGGGTGCTGGTGGGACAGTGGTGGGAACGGTGGTGGTGGTGGGGACAGTGGTGCGGGGACAGCGGGACAGTGGTGCGGACAGTGGTGGGGACAGTGGTGAGGGGACAACGGGACAGTGGTGGGAGCAGTGGAACAGTGGTGGGGACGGTAGTGGCGGGGACAGTGGTGAAGGCGGTGGTGTGGACTGTGGTGGGACAGTAGTACAGTGGGGAAAACGGTGGGGACAGTGGGGACAGTGGGACAGTGATGGGGACAGTGGGGACGGTGGGACAGCACAGTGGGACAGCGGCGGGGACAGTGGGACAGTGGTGGGTACAGAGGGACAGAGGTGGGGACCGTGGTGAAAGTGAGGAGAGCGGGACCGTGGTGGGACAATGGTGGGGAGAGTGGGGACAGTGAGACATTGGTGGGGGCACTGGTGGGGACAGCAGGGACAACGGTAGGAACAGCGTGGACAGTGGGTCAGTGGTGGGGACGGTGGTGGTGGGGACAGTGGTGTGGGGACAGTGAGAATGTGGTGGAAACAGTGGGACAGTTGAGGGTACAGTGGTGGTGGGGACAGTGGTGAGGGCGGTGGCGAGGACGGCGGTGGGACAATGGGACAGAGGTACAGTGTGGACAGTGGTGGGGACAGTGGGGACACTGGTTGATGGGAACAGTGGGGCAGCTCAGTGGGACAGCGGCGGGGACAGTGGGACAGTGGTTGGGGCCGTGGAGAAAGTGGGGAGAGTGGAACCGTGATGGTTTGCTGGCGGTGAGCGTGGGTGGGTGGGGGGTTCGAACCGGTAGTGACCCCCCTCGGTTTTCGAGAGGGGGTGGGGGAGGTTCGAACCGGTAGTGACCCCTCCCAGTTTTCGAGGAAGGGGGGGGTCCGAACCGGTAGTGACTTCCCCCGGTTTTCGGGAAGGCACGGGGGGGAGAGGGGGAGGGTTCGAACCGGTGGTGACCCCCCCTCTTGTGTTCGAGAGAGGGGGGGGGTTCGAACCGGTAGTGACCCCCCTCGGTTTTTTGGAGGGGGAAGGGGGTTCGAACCCTCCGGTTTTCAGGAGGGGGGGGGATGGGGGTTGCGGGGGTTTTGCCGGGAGGGAGGGGGGAGAGGGTTCGGCAGAGTTTTTTTTGGGGGGGAGGGGGGGGGAGACCCCCCGGTTCCGAAGGAAGAGGGGGGGGAATTTTCCACAGTAAAGCGGCGGTGGATCGCGCTCTCTCTCTGAGTGACCCGGGTTAGCAGATCCCCGATTTGATCAGTCCCTCCCAGGGCTGACCAGCCCTGGGGGGGAAGGGCACGCAAGGACGACTTCGCGCCCGAGAGAGAGAGAGAGAGAGAGAGAGAGCGAGAGAGAGAAAAACACAAAAAGAGGAGAAGGAGGAGAAGGAAGCAAGGAGGGATGTGGGAGCACGATAGGAGGGAAAAGGATAACGGAACAGGGGAGGGGAAGGGACGAAGGCGGAAGAGGGAGGAGGAACAATGTTGGAGGGAACAAGGGAAGGATTATACATTGGGGGTTCTGGGGGGGGTCTGGGATGTTCCCCCTCCTCGTTCCTCCTGACTTCTCCTTTCTCTTCTCCCCCCTCCTTCTTCTGACCTTACCTCCTCGTGCTAATTGTCCAACGCCCTCCTCCTCTTCTTCCTCGCTCTCCTCCCCCTCCTCCTCCTCCTCCTCCTCCTCCTCCTCCTCCTCCTCCTCCTCCTCCTCCTCCTCCTCCTCCTCCTCCTCCTCCTCCTCCTCCTGGTCCTCCTTGCCCCGTCATCGCCGTCATTTGGATGCCTCGGGGGCGGCTTCTTTGGAGTAGATTTGCAGTTCCTGAGTGCTTTTTGGGGCCCTCTAAGCTGTTATTGGAGGTCTCGTGGGTGCTTCTTGTGGGGGCCATCTTTTGGGGAGGGCTCCCCAGGCCCCCACGAGCCCCCCCTCTTCTTGGGTCCCTCATGAGGCCCTCTTGAAGGACTTGTTTCACATTCTTGGGCGCCTTTGGGGTAGTCCAGGGGCCATCTTGGGCCATCTGTGGGTCGTCTTGGGGGCCTCCTCGGTCGTCTTGGTCCATTCTGGAGGGCTTCTCTTGCCGTCTCGGGGCTCAATCAAAACACCGAGATGGCGAGAATCCAGAAGTCTTCCAAGCATTTTCGAATGAATAGCAATGGCTTTGACCCCTCGGGGCGGTCTTGTGGGTCCTCTTGGGCCCTCTTTGGTCGTCAGGCCTACTCGGCCGTTGTGAGGCCATCTATGATATTCTGGATGCCCCTTCGCCGCGTTGGATCCAGTCTTGAGCCATCTGGGAGGGCACCTTTGAGGCCGCGGTGTGTGGAATTCCAGGCTCCGATGGCCAGGGAATATCGCAGCCCTCCCTCCTCCACCAGGAGTTGAGGCCCCAGGAAAAGGGAAACGGCGGAGGGGGACTGCCAAATGTCTCACAACCCATTTCACCCTGGCAAGGGGGGGTCGGCGAACTCCTCCTAACACCTGCATCCTCTCTTCCCGTCCTCACCATCCTCTCTCCCCGTGCTTCTCCTATTCCTCCCTCCCCCATCATCTCTCCTCCTCCGTTCCGCCTTCGCCCTCCCTCCTCCTCCTGCTCCCTCCTCCTCCTCCTCCTCCTCCTCCTCCTCCTCCTCCTATCCCGCCCGCGGGCGCACGAGAGACCTAACCCCATGCTCACGATAATAAACACTAGGGGATAATAAAGTTCGGGGTTCAGGGGGAGATAATCAAAGTAGCCCACCAGACCTCAGCATAATCTCGAAGTAAGAGATGATCAGGAGGAGACCAAACCGAGCACGTTTTGAGACATCCTTGGCGTTTAGTCTTCATAGAAATATCCTCACCAATGGCTTATCTCGCTGGAGACATCCTCGACAAATCCCTCGATAATAAATGAAAAGGATAAAGAGAAGAGGAAAGGAGGATAAAACAACAAATCTGAATATTCAACTGTATTAATTTT